CTAATTGCCACTTAGTTACCTCTAATGAATAAGATATAACGATATGATATAACACACCATATTTTAAGAAATCATGATAAGGGGACAATTTCAGAGAAAACGAGGAAGACATTCATGAATGAGCAAAATTAGGAGAACAGTTAATACAATAACAACAGTATTATAAAGACAAAACTTTTTTAAAAATGTAGGAATTCTGATCAATGCAATGAACAACTATGACTCCCAGAGGACTCATGATAAAGCTTGCTACACAACTCAAGGCAAGAGGTAATGGACACAAGAGCATAGCTTAAGATATATTTTCAGGGGAGGTAAGGGGAAAGATAGACAATGTGGGAATTTGTTTTGGTTCACATACATGTTTTAACATATCTGGGGTTTTCTTTCTCCCTTTCTTTCTCTAGGGTGGGGGGGAATGTGAAATGCTGAGGAGGGAAGGTAGACTTTCACTGATTGAAAACAAATTAAAAAAGTAAAAGTATGAAATTTAAACAAATTGTTCACAAACGGCATAAATTTTACAATTTAAGAAAAAAATTTTATTTAAAATAAAAAACACATAGAAAGTACATAGGATTACAAAGGAAACCAGCTACATTGAAGTCCATAGACCCCCATTAAAAAGCTGTGCTGTAGAAAATTTTGAATGACTGTTCAGAATTTTTTTATTCTATTAAAAATACCAAATTTTGGCAGCTTATCAAAATGAAAAGTGGGAAAGATATGTGACCAAATTAATAAAGATCACCTTTACAGTCATTATACACACATATGACTATTCTCTCCAATCCATTTAATTATTACAATAAATACATTTTATAATGTTCCATGCTAAGGAGGTGTGTACAACAGAACGAATATGTGGGCATTCACAATAACAACAGAAATCAACCAGAGTGTCAGATTTCCATGGCATTATGTTTAAAAAAATAATAATTATTATTCACTCTGGCTTCTCCCCCTGCACATGTAACAAGAATCTTGTATATAAAAACTGAAACTGAATTATGTGATTTCAATGTTTTAACTAGACAACACTGATATTGGCAACCTGAGTGGAGGATTTCCCATACTCCAGATAAATCATGTGCAGTAAACAGTGTGAAGTTAAAATCTCATCTTGAGAAATCACAAACTATGGCAATAAACAGTGTGAAGTTAAAATCTCATCTTGAGAAATCACAAACTATGGCAATATAGAAGAATACTGTCAAAAACAGAATGCATGTAGAACACAAAAAGGAAAAGCCCTTTGTAGTACTTTGGTAACTGAAAAGTAAATACCAGAAGGAATCATCAGGACATCTACCAAAACAAGACTGATTTTTAAGAGATAGGTAACTGAAATTGGGGGCGGGGTGGGGGAGGAGTATGGGAGGGGAGATACAAGTAACGAGTAATTACTATTGAGCTAACCTAAGATCTTTCTCCACTACATTGTATATGTCTGGAGGGCAGGGATGTCTTTCTTTTTCATATTTATATCACTAGCACCTCATGGCACAATAGTACATGCTTAATAAATGTTTAGAGAATAACTGACTCATTCACCTTGTTTAAAAATGCAAACACCTACCAATTTAGAAACTTACCATGAAGAGTGAATATTAAATATGGAAAGATTTTGTCAGTGAACTGAATAAACAAATCCAAAGTAGACATTGATTTTAAGAACAATATCATGTTATAGGACCACAGATTTAGAGGAAAAGAATTTCAGAGGCCTTCTAGTCTCTCACTTTATAAGCGAAAAAACCGAAGCCCAGGGAGGTGAAATGGTTGAGAACATTATAGCTCTGTTGTAATAGAATTCAATGAAATGTAATTGACAAGTTAAGGAGAAACAAATATGCAAAGTTTAGAGAACTTGGAAATAACTGAAATATGGTAGAAAACACTTTCATGTAACAACAAAAATTTATCTTCAGTCTCTATTTTATTAAGTTGCATTATTAGACTCTCTGTAAGACAGAAAATTTAAAAACAACAGGCTCCTTACCCCAAAGGAATTTACAATCCAGAGAATATACTACTGTGGGGCTACATACTTATGTGCTGTAATTTTGCGGTAAATTTCCTAAAATTATCCATTAGGCCTTTCTAGTCTCATTTAAGTAACTTACTAAAACTAACCACATTATTTACAAACAAATATGTTAACTCAAAGGTTAATACAATATATTTACAATGCATTTCCCTGGAAGTTATTACAACACCAATGCCTAGGTTAACTTCTGCATGCCCTCAATTTCAGAAATGTTAAAAACTCAAAGCTTAAGTTCAGTAAATCTAATTCATTCAAAAATTTTTTTGCTAAATGAAAATAAGGTGAGGGATGTAAAGCTATTATTACTAGCATATATTGGAAAAATCCATTGGAAAAATTCAATGGATACTTTTTGCAGCTTTGATTATTAAAAATGGACAAAGGGCAGAGTGATAACTAAATCAAAATAATTATACCTAAGATCAATCATAATACCCAGGTAGCTGGCAATAATTTTGGCAAACAGTTTCATGCTACATGGTAAAGGAAAAAGTTTAAATTCACAACACAGGAAACTAATGAATTAGGGATTTTTTTTCAAGAAAATGAATCAACTTACAAAAAGCAAATTTAGTAATTATTATAATAGGCTAAACGTTGAAAATCCTTAGTAAAGGATCTTTAGGTAAAATTAAAGATAAGACTGATTTACAATTAGCACTGTTCATTAAGGAACCTTTTAAAAGTATTTAAGTATTTGAAAGTATTTAAAATATTCCCAGTGAAATCTCAATTACACTAATAATTTCCTTAGCAAACCATCCCAACAATTAATAAATATTAAGAGCTTACTTTGTATAAGACACTGTGCTAGGAAAATGAAACAATCCCTACTCACAATGAGCTTATATTCAACTGGAGAAAAACTAATAATACATCCAACATCTCACCCTACCACCTCCACCATGGAACTAGGAAGGCAAATGAAAGGACCACTCAATCAACAAACAAAAATATCAAATGGTACCTACAATACACAGTAGGTAAAGGGTAATGAGTTAGGCACTCTCTCTTCAGTCATCTATTTGGACAAGGAATTTCATTCTGGGAATAATAGGCTCACTTATATAAGCATAGATATGAAAAATCTTTTAACACTTCTCTACCTTCACCTACTTTCAAACTTTCCTAAATTTTAGAAAGCAGTCTATAGACTACTACCAACTGCCTGTACCTCTTACTGCCATTCTATCAAGCTTGCCTTTAGCATTCTATTAAAAGTGCTCTAAGGTCACTGAAAGACTATCATCAAATCCAATGGGCCTTTTAGTCCTCATATTGACTCCTCTGCAATTTGACATTACTGAATACTCCCTCCCAAAGAAAGGTCTTTGCCTCCTTTACCTTCAAATAGATCATACACTCCTGGTTCTCCAAATTTCTAATTTTCCCTTATTTCGATTCTCATACTCGGCCAACACCTATTGTAGGTGCTCTTAAGGTGTCTGATTTTACCTCCTTCCCCCGTGTTCTAAAATAGGCAATTCTCATGTCGACCTCTTCACGCTATAGTTTCTAACAATTTGCAAACCTTTATCCTCAGTCTCATTTTTAAAGCTCATCTCATTCTTGAGCATCAGACTGGCATTACCAACCACTTAATAACTTTCTCCACCTGAATCATGCACTGTCATCACAATATGCCAACATGAAGTTTGGTATCTTTTCTCCCAACCAAGGCTCACTCTGACACAATCTTTCAATACATCTCCCATTACGGTATTTTGTTGTTGTTCAGTCATGTTTTACTTCATGACCCCTTTTGGGGTTTTCTTGGCAAAGATGCTAGAATTGTTTGCCATTTCCTTCTCCAACTCATTGAAGAGATAAGAAAACTGAGGCTAACAGGGTTAAGTGACTTGCCCAGGGTCACACAGCTAGTAGGTGTCTGAGGCCAGATTTGAACTCAGGATGATAACTCTTCCTGACTACAGGTCCAGAACTCTGTCCACTGCACCACCTAGTTACCCCCAATAAAGGTAAGCCTGTGGCTGTTTTTCCTCTCATTTTTTATTCCATTTACAAAATCTACCTATGAAATAGTTCTAAAATCCAACCCCTTCCTCTATCATCAAAATGCCACCACTCAGATACAGGACTTCATTATCAACACCTGTCATAACTTAACAACTAGTCTAACATACTCTACTCTCTATACCCACTCATTATAATGTAACAAAATAATATTTTTACATAGAGATCATACTCTGCTAAGCATCTTCATTGATTCCATAACGCATACCCATTGAAATGCCTTTGCTTTTTAGTCAAGGCCCTTCTAAAATCTGTCATTTCCCCACTCTATTTCCAAGGTAAGCAGTGTACAGAACTCCCTATAAATCTTCTTCTATCAGTATGCCTTAAAATGTACTCTTTTCTACTCCCTTTCCAGCTAAATTCCTGAATATAAATGCAGCTTCTGCTGTGCGCCTTTATTAGTAACTCTGTGTTACAACTTATCATTTAACATGTATATGTAAGCACCAAGAAGGCAGAAATATTTAAATTTCCTATCTACCCTTTAGGTCTGAAACAATGCTCTGTACAGAGTAAGCCCTTAGTTTATGTTTAGTTAATATGGAATATGAAGGAATTTCAACCAAAAAAATCGAAGAATGTATAATCGTAATGACTAAGTTTGAGGTTAAAGAAGAGTTGACAAACTAAATGTATTTCTCTTCTTTCATTGAGGAGGTAAGGCATAACAAAGGTAGGTCACTGAAAATGCTAAAAGACAAGGTTGATGTGTTAGAAATTTTTGTTAAGCTGCTTTTTTTTTCACCCTTTTAAAATCTTTGTTACAATGGACGGCTTGCTGGACAAAGAAATTAATAAAAATTTAACAAATGATATAAAACCAAGAAGAAATAATAAAAATAAGATTAAAAACATCTTAAACTTCAAGAATTCTAACAACATCATACAGTAAAAGCAATGGCAAAATTCTTACCTCTGACTGTATCAGGAAGGAGTCCTGCATGTGATCTCTAACCTCCTTCAAGAAGCTGGGATGGCTACCTACCTGGAAAAAGATTAAGAAATCAGATTTAGCCAAAATTTAATATTGGACCATTCAAGTTTAGGTAATCCTTTCCAACTAATGAAGAAATAAAGCTGGAACAAAAGAAATAAAGCTAGAAGTAAACAGGCTGAAACACAGGTAACTCTCAACATTATGCTTTGTGAATTTCTCTTAACACATCTCACACACTCTCAGACAAACCCAACTTTAATTATTAGCCTAAAGAAAACATAATTACAACAATGATCATCAACACCACAGAATATTAAAAGAAAAACATATGACAAATCAGGAGAACTGGGTTCTATTTCTTCCACTAAATAGTTGTGAATATTGCAAGTAAACAGAGTGTAATTGAGTAGTTTCATCTTTAAGATTAATAAAAGACTTCCAATGTCTCTTCTAACTCTGATTCTATCATGTTTTTCTAAGGAAATCAGGTTGAGTCATTTTCAGTCATGCCCAACTCTTCGTGACCACTGGAATGGTTTGCTATTTCCTTCTCCAGCTCATTTTATATATGAGGATACTGAGGCAAACAGGATTAAGTGACTTGCCCAGGGTTGCACAGCCAGGAAGTGTCTGAGGCCAGATGTGAACACAGGAAGAGTATTCTTCTGACTCTTCCAGGTCTGGAACTCTAACCACTGCACCACCTACCTGCCCAAGGAAATCATAAGGTTTCTATAAAATCAAAGAAGTCATTTTTGGGTCAACTGAATGATCTAGGACATCGCTTCACTTTGCTAGAATGGAAAATGAAGAATTACTGCAATGTAAGGCTAACAGCGCATATTGCTATACTAAAGTAGGAAAATATAGTAGAAGGATTTGGCACAAGACGTTTCTGATGCCAGCTTTAACTTATGACAAATGAATTAGCAATTAATCATATTAGAATAATCCATAAATCAAAGAAGAGAAGAAGAAAAGGTAACTTGTACAGATCAACTGCCAATTCGAAGTGGGGTGGGGGTGAAGTAAGAGGACAAAGAGCAGAAGGAAGAAAAATAAGATGTTTTCAAATTCAGAGAATATGAAGTAATTTCAAGTATTATCCTAAAGCAAAATCTAAGATAATAGCATAGACAAATTAAATTAATACAGGCTTTTCAGAAAGGGACAGTATCTGTTTCCAATTTTACCAATAATTATCACTTTGGGCAAAGTAACATCTCACTTTGCTAAGCATCAATGGTGGGGTTTGAACCCAGTTTTCTACTGAGTCAAAATCTAGTGTACTTCTCTTACAAAGCCTTGGGATATAACCACTTTCATATCCTAATATCACCAATATCCTACTTCTGTTCAAGAGTCTGCTTTAAGCTGTTCAGATTTCTCTGATCAGCTTTACATCACAAATCACTGATGCCAGACTTGAAAGACAGAGCTCAGAAGTCTTAATATTCCAGATAGGGAACAGAGGAATAGCATTCCAAACTAAATGACATCCTTAAACACAGAAAACTACTTACCAAGGACAAAACAATAAACAATTTTCTGCTGAAGCTACAAAAGACATTGGACTAACAACTTTACTTCATTCAACTATCTAACTAGAATTTGTTTTAAACTGCAGAAAAGCATTTACTAGAGTATTTACTGACACTTTGGAGTTTGTTATAGAATACCTTCCAAGCATAAACTATGAACATGACATTTTACATCACCAAGTCACATTATGGTAATGTTCAAGAGGAAAACTAAACTAAGATATAAATTAAAAACAAAATTTTGCATTTTAATTCTAATTAACATTCAATCTACATCTTTCATTTTCTTCAGTTGCATATAGTAAGATTGTGGACTTTTAGCATTACAAACAGGAAGCACTACGGTTGTAAAGCAGAACACTAAATTTCTTTTAACATTTTTAAGTAAAAATAAGTTTTACCTATTTACATAATCCATAACAACAATCACTGGGAGCAGTGAAGGGGCGCAGTGGATAGAGCACCGGCCCTGCACTCAGGAGGACCTGAGTTCAAATCCGGCCATTACTAGCTGTGTGACCTTGGGCAAGTCACTTAATCCCACTGGCCTAGCCAAAACACAAACAAACATAATAACAATCACTAAAAAAGTTCTTGCACCAAAGTCCTCAGGATTGTCATAAATAGTTCAACATCAGAAACTGATAAAATTTTATCAGTAGAAACGACAAATTTAAGAGGTATGGTCATCTACTTTGCACTACCTCATAAGGACCATGGGACTTTTTCATTTGACTTGCAGCTAAAACCTTCCAAATGTATTCTCTTCCATTAGAATGTGAGGACCTTGAAAGCAGCAAGAACCTTTTTTTCTATTTGTGTACTCAGTGTTTTGCACATACTGTGTTTAATACAGGTTTTAGTCATTCATTCAAGAAAAACATGGTGGGGGTGTAGCAATCTAGTCTCATCATTTAACCTAATATTAATTTAATACATGATTTCTAAAACCTAGAATCACTGAGAGCCTTAGAATTCCTTCCAATTATGACTATCAAACTAAATCTGTTGCAACAGTATATATCAAAGAGGAGGGAGTAGAAAGAATAAGCGTTTATACAGCACCTACTATATGTCAGAAACTATACTAAGCACTTAACAAATATTTATTTCATTTGATTCTCACAGCAACACTGCAAGGTAGGTGCCGTTATTACTATCATTTTACAACTGAGGAAACTGAGGCAAAATTGACTTGTCCAGGTTCACACAGCTAGTTGTCCCAGGGCAGATTTGAAATCAAGTCTTCCTGACTCCAGGCCCAGTGATATATACACTAAACCACCTAGCTGTCTCAGATGACTGCCTATGAGATCTTGTTTGAGCTTAACAAAAAGAAGTGGTTGGACAAAAAGACTTTGTTGATATTTAAAAAAAAAACCTGGAATTATCAGAAATTTCTATTATTCCCTGTAAATTCATAGCAATTAAATATAAACAAAAGGACAATTAATACAGTAATAACAAAAATATAAAAACAAAGAACTTTGAAATACTGAAGGAAGTTGATCAACTCAGTGACTAAACAAGATTCTGGAGGACTGACCAAAGCATCTTAAGTTCAATACATAATAAAGAGGTAGGTAGAGCAGTAGCTAAGATACAATTTATAATCACAAAGTAAGATTTGAATCCCAGGTCTACAGATACAATCTGTTACATAAGATAGCCTTGTGTTTATTAAGCATCTATTAGGTGCCAAGTTCTGTGCACAAAAAGACAAAAATTAAATGCTCTGACAGTAACCTCAAAGATTTTATCTTGTAATGGGGAAAAAGCAAGTACAGACAAGGTAATTTTAAGAAGAGGAAATAGCTGTTGGGATCATGACAGCTCTTGCTTGTGTGGGTAGTACTACAGCTACTGTACTACAGTTTTGAAGGAAACAAAATTTTAAGAGGTAGAAGTTAAGACTAAGTACATTCCAGGTATTTAATGACAGCTTGCGCTAAGGCACAAGGGTGGGGGAGGGAGGGAAGGTGGGAAGGGCAGGAAGGAAATAAGAGAGGAAAAAGGCATTTTGGGGTGGACTTCAGAGTGTGTGAATGGAAGCAATATATAATGAAGGAAAAAAAAAGTTGGTGCCAGATCATGAAGGGGTATAAATGCCAAATGAAAGAGTTTTATTTTATCCTAGAGGCAAAGGAGACACTGGAGCTTGTTAAGCAAGGGAAGAATGTTAGTTTGGAATGTCCCACTTGCAACTGTGGAGGATGAAATGAAAGAGGGAAAGAACTGAATCAAGTAGGCCCAACAGGAAGGCACTAGAATAGTGCAGATGAGGTAATAAGGGACTCGACAGGGGTGATAGCTGTCTAACTATCTAGACAAAAGAGAAGAGATGTAATAGAATCAAGGAGGTAGGATCCTCAAGATTTAGCAATTGGTAGGATATGAGGGAGTAACAGAGGGAAAAGTTGAAGATGAATCTGAGGAAGCTGAACTACTTAAGTACAAGGATGTTAGTACTGCTGCTGTCTGAGAGGTTTGGACCCCTCAAGGACTGGAGGGTATAGGATGGGGTCATCTAGAATGATTTCACAGACTCAAGCATTCTTTAAGTCAAGGTAGCAAAGATTTATTGTTATGCTGTACAGCAGGCAAGGATTCTCAAGGATTTTTTGCACCTACCATGGTCGGCAGAGCTCTTTAGGGAACTTGCAACCTAACAAGAATGATGCTAAAGCTTATATAGGAAAAGTAGTGGATTATGTGGCAAGTATGCTAATTAGGTGATAACATACAACTACATCATTCATTACTGGAAACCGAGGATAGAGAGAAGGGTTTCCCTAAGGGGTATGTTTTTGGTCTGTTATGTCTATAACAAGATAGTTTCAGGAGTTGACAACTATAGCTTGATCTCTGGATTGTATATGGTAACTGTGGGCATCAGTACTTGATAGTTCTGCTGATACAAGATGATCCTGTTCATCCAAGGGAATTTCTACAGAAGTCAGCTTGTTCTAGTAACAAGGAGAGATAGTTTGCCTCAGTAGGCCCACTCATGAATTATTGCCAGAGATCGGGTCCTTGGGTGGGCTGAAGGGAAACTTCGAGGGACAGTGTTTCTGAGGCCAGGGAGAAATTGGGGTCCAAGCACAAGCGCCAAGTACCCCATCAGTACCCTCAACAGAAATAAGTTACAAAAAAGGGGTGAATTGGTTGGGAAGTGTGGCGGGACAGAATTATTTGTAAATGTTGAGTCTGACATGATGCTTGTGAGGCTCCGTCTCACACTCAGCAAACTGGCAAAGAAGAAAGATGGGAAGAGTCAAGAACAGACAGAAAAACAAATGCACTGTGGGAGGAGCTATGAATTATCTCAACCACTTAGGTCAGAAAGGGTAAGGCTTAGTGTTAAATCTCTTATTTATTTCAACTGTGCTATATTTGTCTCAATTATCTACAGTGAAAGATATGAATTTACAGATGAGCCTTTCTTTACCCGAAGCTAATTAAAAAACACAGTGTTGGGGGAAAACAGGCTTTGGTTGTTGTCTATTATTTCTAATTACAACTTGATCTAAAAGTCATTTCAACATTCCTGCTTTTTTGCTTTCATCTTATAAATTACAAAATTACAGTATTACACAAAACTCTGTTCTTGAAAAAATTATACTAATTTAATTTGCCTTTATATAACTGTAATTTAACTTTATAAACATGTACTAACTTACCCCATCACACCATGTACAAACTATCTCAATAGATCATTTGATGATCTATGGTATTATGGAGGACTACAGAAAAGGCAAAGGCACATAAAGGAATTGACAATTATTTTTTCTTCAACAAAAACTATCTCGGTAACACAGCTCAAATATTACCCTTAAAGATACTTCTCTGAAATAGCCTAGAACTCTTCATAGCCATTTTCCCTACTATTTTCAATTAGATTGTCCCTTAATTTCTCTTTATTAGGCTCTCACAGTGCTTAAGGCTACTCCTAAAGCAGCTTTATCTACAAACCCTTCATGAACTAAGAGACTTTCAACCAAATAAAAAAATATATATAGTAGAGAATACCTTCTTCCACGGATGCCTGCCTAAAGCAATTGCAGTCAAAACACTAAGCTGAAATCAGGTTTTTATACTTTTCAAAACCTAAAACATGGTCTTTGTCTTCACCCAGAACATGGAGGCAAGGGCTACTAGTCTTACAAAGTCACTGGAGGTCTTTAAGGAAAGACTACATGTCCACTTGGTGTATTATGGAGAGAATTCTTGCTGAGGAACAGCCACTGAGAATCTCCTAACGCTGAGATTTGGATTCTCTATATATGCATCTTTCAGTTCTGTTAAACATAACTGTTTCTTAACTGGAAGATTTTAAAAACCTAAATGTTACAGACTCAACTTTGGATAGTTACCTAACATCTGTACTACATGGCATAATGAAAATAACACTAAGTTAATGACACTAAATTAAAAACGGGGTCTCAAACAGTGTTTCCAAGATAAGCCTGATGAAGATATAAAAGATATGCCACTTCATCTCACAATTTTTCAAATTAAAATTACTCATATTAGAACAATTACCTGTTTGTATTCGCTGACACAGCTTTGGCAGCAAAATCTTTTCTGCTGGCCATCGATGATAAGGATATTGTTTCCAGCACCTTTGCTAGGCAAGTACTCGCCACACTGTTCACAGCAATTCATTATTAAGCCATTTGCCATTCTATATCTATTAAAGCAGTGGTCACTACAGAGCTTATGAGTCATATTTTTAAAGCTTACTTCATGGCGAATCTGAAAGAAAAATGCAATACAGCATTAAGGTGACACTTAAAGAAAATCAGTTATCATTATGTAAGAACAAAAGATCTGTGACTCCTCTGCAGAACTTATGTTTAGACAAAGTCAAAGTAGATTAGACCTAGAAGGGAATTTTTGAATTTAACTGAACCTTCCCATTTTAGAGATAAGGAAATTGAATCCGCCCTTCTCCCCCAAATAAAGTTAACATGCCTATAATCACAGGACTAACTGACTTTCACAAACAGAAACAGAACTGACAGACAACTGACTAGCTTTGATGGGTATGACGGTCCTATCTGGTAAGAGGAATGGACCAAGAATTCTGAAAATAAATATTTTAAAGATTTTTTTTAAAAAACATCCAATTAGAAACAAGGTGAACTGCTGTGTACCATACATTTTTAAGAAATGAAAACATCTTTGTTTAAATGCTTGATAATGCCCTTCTACCTGAATTCTGAACAAGATCATTCCTTAATCTCCCTCTGACCCCACCCTGCTGCCATGCCAAACACTTCTCAGTCTACCCTTATATATGGGGAGGGGAGAGGAGAATAGTGTGTGAAGACATGAGGAAGAACACTATAGATATTAATGAATCCACCCCTACAAAAAAATTACCCAAATAAAAAATGTAAAATTCATATATTTAACTAGAAAAAAGTTACTCATTTCAGCCAAGAAGATAATTACACAGTATTGATAAATCTATCTGCAATTCTTCCATCAGACTCTACTAGTACAGAACCTTGCTAACCAAATTTTTCAAAATGTACATAATATATTATGATGTAAAAAATAAAGCTTAAAAAAATAATATAGCTTAGAAAATTTTTATCATGAAAACTATTTTAAACATACAGAATACAAACCTCCGTTAGTTTGCCACAGATAGTGCATCTTGATTTATTTAAAAGTCCTTTTGAAGGATTCTGTTTGTCTTCATAGAGTGATAAGCATGAAGTACTACAGAATTCTTGGAAGGATTCACTTGAATCAACCTGGGCAACAATGGTACCTTTCATTGTTGTTATATCTCTAAAAGAAAAAGTGTACATCACATTTTAATAACAGATCATTATTTTTAGAAATTATTAAATCCTTACTACCTCAAATGTATAGTCATACAAAATCAACTAAACTCTACCAGATGGGAGTCCCAGTAGGATGCAGTCAAAAGACAACTTTAAGAGGTTTATGGTACTAAGAAAAGAGACTAAGTCAACTACAAATATATGTGAACGAAATGTCTATTGGTGGCTAACACATCTGGTCCTGAAAGACAATATGATTGAAGACAAGAAAGAGTTTATGAATTACAGCCAGTATGTTCAAGTGTTTAAAAATTCCAAAAAGCAAATACAAATCAATAAACCCCTGGCTAGAATCAGAAAATTATATAGGAATATATCCAAAAAACCATTCATTTTAACGTTTGACCTCAATTGTAGGTACAAAATAATACAAAATTATAGTATTCAAGTTGCAAATAATAATAGTAAAAATTTATATAAAGCATACTATGTGCCAGGCACTGTGCTAAATGCTTTACAATTATTATCTCATTTGATCCTCATAATAACCTTGGGACACAGGTGTTATTATCCCCATTTTACAGGTGAGGAAACTGAGGCAAACAAAGATTAAGTCACTTACCCATGGAAATATAGATATGAAGTGTTAGAGATCAAATTTGATCTTCCTAACCCCAAGCCTGGCACATTCTATCTCTTGTACCAGCTAGCTGCCTCATATTGTGATGAAACCAAAAGCTGCTGTAAATTACGAGATTTATGGCCAGAAGAGAACTTTGAGTCCAACCTCCCTCATTTTACAGGTGAGGAAATTGAACCTCCAGGTTAGCTGGTTTGCCTAAGATCACAAAGATAGTAACCAGCAGATTCTGTAACCAGATTTTCCAACAACAGATACCATGTTCTTTCTGCTACATCATATCCCCTTTCTAACACAATTTATTAATCAATAGATCCTTACAGAAATCAGCTATCAAATTTTTTCTAAATTATGCAGGGCTAAAAATAACTCTACTCATCTCGAAATGGACAGGAAGATCCCCACCCTGACCTGACTGATTATATACTCTTTTCTACCTAAGCTACATTTAACTTCTGAGTTGAATTAAAATGGCAGGGCAAGATAGATCCCAACTCAGAAGAAAACTTACATGAATAGAAAGTGATCATTTAAGGCAAATGGTTCTCAAAAGAAAACTAAATTGTATTAATATGGCTTAATGTTTTAAAATAAACAAAATATAAAATAAATATATAATGTATATATCATTTTATTATAAATTTATAAATATATAAATTATAAAGATATTATATAAATATAAAAATAAATAATATCTAAGTACATTCCTCTAATCTGGTTTTTTAAATATACCAGACCAAAATTTTATCATCTATAAAAATGTATATCCTAGAAAGCTATAAAATCTCACTTGCCATTAAGAATTCACTTCACTCAACTAAAAACACAGAAACCTCCAATTATCATAAAAGGGCTACCCATACCATCATCTAACCAAATGCCAAAGACCTCTCTGTTTAAAGTAGCTTAAATCACCAAATTCCCCTGAAGCCTTTCTGACCATTACTCTCCAAACATCCCCTGTGCAAGACTTTTGGCAACAATAAAAGAGATAGAGAGCACTGTGAGATACAAAATGTGTAATTTTGATTACATTAAATGAAAAGCTTTTGTACATATAAAACCAATGTTGCCAAGATTAGAAAGAAAGCAGAAAATAAGGAAAAAAATTTTTACAGATAGTTTCTCGGATAAAGGTCTTATATCTCAAACATACAGAGAATTTTGTCAAATTTATAAGAATGAATCATTCTCCAATTGATAACTGATCAAAGCATATGAAGTTTTTCAATGAAGAAATGAAAGCTACATGTATCATGAAAAATTGCTCTAAATCATTATTTATCAGAGAAATGCAAATTAAAGCAACTCTGGGATATCATCTCACACCTATCAATCAGGGTGGCTAAAATAGTAGAAGGTGAAAACGATAAATGTTGGAGGGGATGTGGAAAAATTGGGACAGTAATATACTCTAGATGGAACTTTGAACTGATACAACCATTCTGGAGAGCAATCTGGAATTATGTCCAGAGTCACAAAACTGTTTATATACCCTTTGACCCAGCAATACCACTATCAGGTCTGTTTCCCAATGTGATCAAGAATAAAGAAAAATAACCCCTATGTCCTAAAATATTTATAGCAGCTTTTTCTGGGGGCAAAGAACTGGAAAACCGAGGGAATGTCCATCAATTGGGGAATGGCTAAACAAGTTATGGTATATGATTGTGATGGAATACTACTGTGCTATATGAAATGATGAGCAGTGACTTTAGAAAAAACATGTAAAGACTTGCATGAAATAAGAGTGAAATGAATAGAACCAAGAGAACATTAGATACAGTAACATTAATATTGTTCAAAAAATAACTGAACTGAGCTATTTTGAGTATTATAAATATTCAAATCAATGACAAAAAGACCTATGAAGAAAAATGTTATCTACCTCCAGAGAAAGAATTGATAAATAAAAGTATGCATAGCATATCCATCTGTGCCAAATGATGGTCTTCTCTAGCACAGGGTAGGGCAGGAAGGAGGAAGACAGTTTGGAACTTAAAATGTAACAAAAAAAATTAAATTAAATTTAAAAAAAAGATTTGGGGAGGCAGAAATTGGCCAGCAAATAGACACATATATGCAATTATGCACTTCATTTCTCTAACATAGCTTGCTCCCCTCCCCCCAAAAAAATATACCCTACTCACCTATATGTACAATAAAAAAATACAAAACCAAAGATATCCCTTACTTTTTGCACATGACGCAGAGTTTCTTTGGAGCAGGCTTGTGTGAGAAGGAGGAAAGACAAGAAGTAGAACAAAACAGGTGAGCAGATCCTTTTCGTTGATAGGCAGTTTGTCCCTTCTGCAAAGGTTTTTTGCAGTTTGCACAAGTAACTTTAACTGGTTTAGTAGGTTGCTGTTGTGAAGGAGGCTGGAAAATCTGCTTAGGAAGTGAGGCCACTGGTGACAAAGAATCCACCCCAGGCTGCTTCTGATTTCGGGGAAATGAAGCTGACTGGGAGATCCAGGAATCTTAAAGACATAATACACATAAAAGAAAAACTAAAATAATTTTCAATCAAATTCTAATACCACAAAAATATTTGTAAGCTCTCACCAAATTGCAAGATTTAGGTGAAGGAAAAAAATTTCTATTTCATAAAATTATTCTTTTCTGGATAGTTTAAACTGAGAATATATATGCATGTTAATAAAGAATGATATAAATCCTCAAACAATGCTTTCTGTGCATAATCAAGATTTAGGTATTTAACTGAGGGTTCACACTACAATAAGATAATAACAATAATAGAAATCAGAACTGAAAGAGATCTGAGGAATCATCTAATCCAAACCCGTCATGTTACAACTTAGGAAATGAGGGCTTAGAGGGATCTTCTGGGGTTTCTTCCCCATGAAAATCTTTAGAAAATATACTTTCCTGACTTCTAAAGTTATTCTGTTTTATCACCAAAGTATATAATGTGAAACACGGTATTAAATGACTTAATCTGTGACCATGCTAGCGTCAATAAATGCTCCCTCTACTGTTACAAACCAAAAAACATTTTAACTATAATAGAGTGCCTTCAACAAGGAGCACTATGACTACAGTACTGCATTACAGTGGGTGTCCTCCTTGCCTTGGCTCCCCCCTAAAGTGTAGAATTGTTCTATCTTTCACCTCACTCATTAGCTCCCACCAATGTTAAGACTTACTAGCAGCTTACTCTCTCCATCCCTCTTTAAATCTAATGACCACTGGCTGTTGTTACTGCCAATACATCCATGACCTGTCTGCCAGGAACACTACTGTGTCCCTCCTCTTCTTCTTCTTATTTGGTGTCAACACTTTTTTCACCAATAGATTCTCCAGTACATCTAAGTTTGGGTTTTCTGGTCTTTTTTTTTTTAAAGATTTGTCTTTTTACAATTACCACCAGCCAACAAGAAGACTCCTTTCTAGCAGGCAAACTGACTAATCACAGCTTCTTAGATGCAGCCTTCTCATCTTCTTGGTTGTATCACTGATAGGCGCTCAAAAGTTGCTTCTTTATTTTACACACATGCATGCGTGCACGTGTCACATACAAGGTTGAGGGATAGGGGAGAAAGGGAAGATTCCAAGTAGGTCAGGGGAAAAGAAAACGTTGGTAGCTTCTGAGTTCCAGGACATTCTGGAGGTCCAAGGACCTAGAAAGCTGACTCATCAACAACTGACAAATATTTACTAGTACTTCAAGAACAAAAATTATAAACACTATCTGTAATGTAAAAATAGCATATAATCTAGGATTAAAATTAAATTCTTCCCATACTACTAAAATAATTTTTCATTCAACAACAAAAAAGCTATTAAAAGTGTTATTATAGTTTTATGGAGAAGAGAAGTAGATAAGCCTTTCAGAAAAAGTTTGTAACTAATTTAATATGCTACAAAGATCTAAAAGCTCCTAGGAATTCACTTTTTTAATAAAATGTATTTATAGTAATTCATAAAAATAATTACAATACCAGACACTAAACAGAAGTATTTATTCTTTTCAACTAAATTCAGCCGCTCATTCTCTGTACATATCCTATTTTGAGTAACTGAGGTCAGAATTTGCCTCACCAAAACAAAATTTTATACTCTATAAAATATTTGTGTGATGTTTGGCATATTTAGCTTTTTGGCTGAGTTTCCTCAGCTATAAGGTGAAGGACCCATGCTTAATGATTTCCAAGGCTCTTCACAGCTCTAATCCTGAGTCTATAAATTTAAAAGATTTGTTTAACTAGTTGGCTTTTTTAAAGTATTAAAAATAAGATTACACTCAAATCTCCTAGCTGACTCCAGTTACTCATTCTACTATGCAGCAATGTTACTGACTCAGAAAATCAAAATCTTAAAACAATGCAATGGCTTTCTAGAGATGGTTCTTTATTGTACTTTCTGGAGAAAGGAGTAGCAATGAAAATCTGTTAATATATAGCTTAGTTTTAATACTACTGGTAACACAAGGAAAAGGTAACCTCAAGGTCTTGTCCTAAAACCTAGGATTCCATAAACTATTTTCTGTGCATAAGGTGTAATATGTTCTTTCTTTGTATACATAGGACAATTCAAGACATAAAAACTTCAATATATTACTTGAGTGCTGCCTATATTAACATACCTTCTGAAATGAACTTCTTATAACTTTCTTCATCAGTAAGGTCTCAGAGAACCTTTACATTATAGCACCCAAAAAAGGTTCATGGCAAATATCATGCAATCACTACAGAAGTGATTACCTAAAGGTACCCACAATATTATTTAAACTCAACATATTAAAAAAATGTTAGTAATACATAATGCTAACAACTCATAAAACCAAAATTTAATTCTTGGTTAAATCTTAAAATAGATTTTGCTACTCTTTAAACTGAACAAAATTATGCTTTTTTTAAAGATGGCTAGCTGCCCTGTGATTTCATCAAGATAATAAATTTTCAAATAAGAAAACATCTCTACTAACACAAGTTAGCACCTCTCTGCAAAATTTGTTCTTGAAGAGTTGCTTAGGGTCCTGAAAGTCCAGGATTACACATCCAATTTATGACAGAGGAAACGCTTGAACCCTTGTCTTCCTGCATGGGAGGTTGATTCTCTGTATTTCATCGTGATGAAAAATAAATAAATCCAGGTTCATATTACTACTCCTTTACTTCACTTGAAAATTTTGCTTTACTTGAAAATTGGGTAAGTTTTTTACAGTTCTATCATTAACAGGATATTATTTTTATTAGCACTTTTCAAAAAAGTATTTTCATGCTTTAATTATTCAACATAGTCATTTATTTTATGAAATGATGCAAAAGTTAACAGAACCAGGAAAACAATACGTAACAGTACAATAATGTAAATGGAAAGAACAAGTGAATCAAAACTGAATACTGTGAAATTATGACCAAGTGTGACTTAGAAAAGAAACTTCAGAATCCTTCTGCTCCTTGAAGAGGAAGTATGGGAAAGGAATACTACACATAAGACTTGGCTAATGAGTTAGTCATTTTTAAGGAACTTTTTTTCTTCTTTTTCATTCTCCAATATAAGTTAGAGCTTCTAGAACAGGGAAAGGGACAGAATAGGAAATGTAGGTAACACAAAAAAAGAAAATTATTAAGTCTGCACTTTCCTTTCTATCTCATCAGAAAGTGGAGCTAAGTTGCTTATTACTGTCCATGACCAACTGACCAAAAGGGAAAAAATAGTTTTACACATAACAATAATTAATGTGTATGACTATAAAGCAATGACCCACTCAACCCCAAAAAAAGTAGCTACATTTCAAAAATATAATTGAGCTGTCAGTAAAAATTTCTTCTCCTGTTTAATAAAAATGTTTTCTTAAGTTGTTTCCTTTTTTACAGTAGAAATGATATAACAACTTTAAAGTACACAAATTTGGTTAGTGAAATATCAAACATGAAACCATCTTCCTATACCAAGATTCACATAGGACAAGATAATTTTTATAAAACACCACTTTCCCCCCCTCAATTATCCATATTAATGAGACACAGATTTGAGACTTATATTTTAATATAAGGAAATTTTCTATCCTAATGTTAACATGAGTATGTCCAATGGTTTAGAAATTCAGAAAGATGGTGCAATTATTCTGATTCTTCACTCAGACTTCACTACTTGTTTAATTCCTCCTATTTCACTTCCATTTTATTTATCTGATTTATATTCAATGGTCAGGGCAGGCCAGTCCATCTCTTAGTTAACACTAAGTTCCAAACTAAGCACACTTCCTTTAAATTCTTCCTTAGTAAAAATAATTGAATATTGCCTTTGCTAAGAATAAGGTTCAAGCAACGGAAAACAAAAAAATTAGCAAAATACTAACCAACCATCTTAAATACAATATTGTTATCCATGCTGATAATCCTCATTGTAATCATTCATAAAAACTACCAAAGATACCTAAAAAGTATCAACACTGACTTAGTTACTACTCTCTTCTTTCACTCCTAAAATCTACAAAAGATGATCATTAGTTTTCTTCTTATATTTTCCTCCAATATAAACTTGGAGCTATTTGATTTGGAAGCAAACTTTCAAAAAAAAATTATTTGCTCTCTTTCAAAAAGCAGCAACAATAAAACATTAAGGAGAAACTAAATTTTCAGTCTATTAGTAAAAACAAAGAGCTAAATATAAACACAATAGCCAAAAATAAGTACTTTTTCCTTCAAGATTTCTAATCCAATCATTGTTTTATTTGGACATGAAAACAAAAATATTGACAAATATCAACATATATCTACAATTTCTAAAGTGAAACACTTTAGATATACATGTTTTTTGACACACACAGTTGACAAAACTTTTGAAGAACAGCTAATATTGTATTTATTCTTGTTGACTAAAACGGAATTTTAAGAAAGTCACCAAAAAGTTCAAATGTGTTTCATACTCTGAAAAGAAAAAGCACTAATTTTGGTAAATGCAAAAACAGTATTAATCTAAAAGTAAAGAACGTACAAAACTAAGAGAGGAGAAAGCCAAATAATATAATTATATATAAGAAACTACAAATGCATATTAAAGTTAACACTTACCAGGATTATGATGAGTTGCAGATTCTCCATTCTGAAAAACGTCTCCTGCCACATTCATTCTACCAGGATTAAAAGGTCCTACTCCAGTCTTGGTCTGTGAAGTTAAAGATGGGGTGTATGTTTGTATATTAACACCAAAATTACTTGACTGCAGTCCGTTAGAGACATCTCCCAAGTTGGTATTCTGCAGTGATGTTACATGTGTAATCATTAAGTTCATATCACGCCCATCAGTATTTTCTAATTGGCCATCATTCACTGAGCTTACACCTGTTTCTAATGTAGTAACATTAGCAATCTGAATTTCAGAGTCTGGTTCTGTGGTGATACCACTACTACCCATTCCTGCATTTACCTTACTTCTTGAAAAACTGGAAGCTGAGAAATCCAAATCATTGGTTCTGTTTTTAGTCTCAGGAAGTCTCCGTTCAATAAAACTGGAAGCATTTTTCTCTTGGCCTTGATTAGTTTCAATGTCCTCTTCATCATCAATGATAATTGTCTCACTTATACTTCCCTTTTGAGAAGTCAAATCTTTTGAGGAAGAAAGTTTAGAATCATTTCCTTGTTGCTCTTCATTTTTTGATGATGGAAAAGTGATGTTTCTTTGATCAGATACCACTGGGGCAGCAGTTGGTGGGGGTTGTATAGGTTCAATAAAAACAACATCATCATCATCTTCTACTGATGTGTTCTGAAACTTATTAGATCTAGAAACTAAAGAATTAGTTGGACCTCCAAATGAATTTCCTACATTTGTGAGACTAGTTGCCATGGCTGTCGTCCCCAATAAAACAGGAGTCTGTTCCGTCAATTCTAATCCTCCCACAGAACTTGTGTCCATTCCAGACGACCTGTTGGAAAGAGTAGGGAAGGAGAAAAAGATAGTATACTTCAGTAAAGCACCACTTTTTTTTTTAAAACAAAAGCAAACAATGAGAACTAAACTGAGTTTTTTCTTCAATTTGGTTGATCCAAAGAAGTTACAGTCCAATATTTCACACAAATTCCCTATAGTATTATCTTAGGCTCTTCTATGTAAAATTCACCTGTTCACTTCTCTATAATACAAACTGAATAATAATATCCATGCACCCATCACCTTAAAACATAATTGTGGCTGACTGTACTAAGAACCAAAAGAGTGAAATGTATTTGTGGAAACATAAGACAGAACATTTGCCAGATAATGGAAATAAAAGGAAAACAGAGGTTTAAGGGCTTATTTTGTTTTTTAAATCTTAGAAATGAAAATTAGCTATGAAATAATCTTAGAAGATAAAGGATCAAGACATCCAATTACTTTTATTTAATGTAATCAGGAAGATGAGATGGCCTATATATATGACACTAACCCCCAATTTTTGTGGCACTGCAAATACTTTTCAACTGTATTTTCTGCTTTCCCAATACTTTCCCAGTATGTTTTTTCCTTACCCTGAATATCAATTTTTGGCCATCTGAATTTATATCTCCCATCTTCAAATTCTAAATACTCATTCATATAATAAACAAACCTTTGATTTATGGACTCAATATATAATTAAAATAGTGCCTGTGTTCTTAAAAACCAATGATTCCAAAAGACATAAACAGATATTTACTATGAAGTTAACCAATTCACTATTAGTATAATTTTATGTAACTTTCCACAATAAAAAATTTGGCAAAACTGTATCAAGATAAATTCATCTTAGGAAGTCATAAAGAAACATAAATAAAGTGATAATTTTTAAAAATGAATTTTCTATTAAGTAACCTGGTCTAACAACATATTGTATTTATATAAAAAAAATCACAATTGCACTTAACAAAATAAGTACTTTTTTCCAAGAATGTGCATAAATTATGTGACTTATACAGCTCAACATAAACATCAACTATTAAGAGATATTTGCGGGGGTTGGAGCCACGATGGCAGCATGAAAGCAGTGACTTGCTTAAAGCTCTCCTCCAAACCCCTCCAAATACCCATAAAATAAAAAGGCTCTAAACAAATTCTAAAGCAGCAGAACCCACAAAAAGACAGAGTAAAACAAATTTCCAGCCCAAGACAGCCTGGATGGTTGATCGGAAAGGCATATCGCGCCATGCAGGGAGAGGAGTACAGTTCTGCGTGGGCTGCAGCGAACCTGGAGCAGGCCTCCAGTGGCGGCTTCCAGACTCCTCAATCCACAAACGCCAAAGACAACTTAGAAGGTCAGTGGGGAAAGTCTGTTTTTCCAGTGAGAGAAGAGCTAGGTCAGAACCAGTTCCAGAGCAGAGAGAGCAGGTGCCTGGGCGTGGCTGCGTCCTGAACTTCCCGCCCACAGACTGATGGGGAATCAAATGGCTGATCAGAGGGGGACTGCAGGGATCTCTTTGCCAGTGCTGAGGCAGGAATCTCTTGCTTTGCCTGTGCTTGGATCTGGGTAACAGGACCTGGGGTGAGGTGGAACGCTGGTGTGGTGGAGCTTGTAGTGGCGGTGGAGAGGAAACCCACCTCACAGTTCCAAGAGAGAAAAGACTGCTTGTGACCTGTCACTTACAGACCAGAGCACAGGCCAGGAAAAGAGTAAAATATCTCGACCCTTATCATACCACCTTGGAAGAACTGAAAATTTACAGGTCCCTACAAGTATCTCTGAAAACAGCTATACAAATCCCTGAAGCTTGGGACAGTATATTCTCCACACTGGAAGCAGACTTCTACCTTAAAAAAGAGTTTAAAACTCAACTAGTTGGCTGGGATCATGAGCAAACCTCGCAAAAAGAGTCAGACTATATTATCTTACTTTGGTGACAAAGAAGATCAAAACATAAAACTAAAAGACAACAAAGTCAAAGCTCCCACATCCAAAGCCTCCAAGAAAAACATGAGTTAGTCCCAGGCCTTGGAAGAGCTCAAAAGGGATTTTGAGAAGCAAGTAAGAGAAGTAGAGGAAAAACTGGGAAGAGAAATGAGAGTGATGCAAGAAAATCATGAAAAACAAGTCAACAGCTTGCTAAAGGAGACCCAAAAAAATACTGAAGAAAATAATACCTTTAAAACAGCCTAACCCAAATGGCAAAAGAGGTCCAAAAAGCCAATGAGGAGAAAATGCCCTAAAAAGAAAATTGGCCAAATGGAAAAGGAAGTCCAAAACTTACTGAAGAAAATACTTCCTTAAAAATTAGAATAGAGCAATTGGAAGACAGTGACTTTATGAGAAATCAAGGTACTGTAAAACAAATCCAAAAGAATGAAAAATTAGAAAATAATGTAAAATATCTCATTGGGAAAACAACTGACCTGGAAAATAGATCCAGGAGACAGAACTTAAAAATTATTGGACTATCTGAAAGCCATGATCAAAAAAAGAGCCTAGACATCATCTTTCAAGAAATTATCAAGGAAAACTGCCCTGATATTTAGAACCAGAGGGCAAAATAGAAATTGAAAGAATCCACTGATCCCTCTGAAAGAGATCCCCAAAGGAAAACTCCTAGGAATATTGTAGCCAAATTCCAGAGTTCCAGGTCAAGGAGAAAATATTGCAAGCAGCCAGAAAGAAACAATTCAAGTATGGTGGAAACACAATCAGGATAACACAAGATTTAGCAGCTTCTATTAAGGACCGCAGGGCATGGAATATAATATTCCGGAGAGCAAAGGAGATAGGATTACAACTAAGAATCACCTACCCAGAAAAACTGAGTATAATCCTTCAGGGGAAAAAATGGTCATTCAGTGAAATAGAGGACTTTCAAGCATTCTTGGTGAAAAGACCAGAGCTGAATAGAAAATTTGACTTTCAAATACAAGACTCAAGTGGAACATGAAGAGGTAAACAGGAAAGAGAAATCATAAGAGACTTATTAAGGCTGAACTGTTTACATTCCTACATGGAAAGATGATATTTATAACTCATGAGACCTTTGTCAGTATTAGGGTAGTGGGAGGGGAAAAGTTGTATGTATGTATGTATGTATAGATAGTAGATAGGCAGATAGATAGATAGATAGATAGATAGATAGATAGATAGACAGACAGACAGATAGATAGATAGACAGACGGCACAGGGTGAATTGAAGACGAAAGGGTGATATCTGGAGAATAAAATTAAGTGGTGAGAGAGGATTATAATACCAGGAGAAGGAGAAAGGGAGAGGTAGAATGGGGTACATTATCTTGCACAAAACAGACAAGAAAAGGTTCTTACAGTGGAGGGGAAACAGAGGAAGGTGAGAGGAAATGAGGGAATAACATACACACTCAATTGGGTATGGAGAACTGTCTTACCCTACAGGAAAATAGGGGAGAGGAAGGGTTGACAAGAGAGCAGGGGGATGATAGAGAGAAGGGCAGATTGGGAAAGGGGTAATCAGAAGGAAGTACTTCTGAGGAGGGACAGGGTCAAAAGAAAGAATAGAATAAATGGGGGGGGGCAGGATAGGATTAAGGGAAATAGAGTTCGTTTTTCACAACATGTCTACTATGGAAGTGTTTTGCATAACTGCACATGTATGGCCTGTATTGACTTGCCTGCCTTTTCAATGAGGGTGGGTGGGGTGGGAGGAAGGGAGAAAATTTGGAACCCAAAGTTTTAAAAACACATGCTTAAAAAAAAAGTTTCCACATGCAACTGGGAAATAAGAAATACAGGAAATGAGGTACAGAAATCTATCCTGCCCTACAGGAAAACAGAAGGGGAAGGGGATAAGAGAAAGGTGGGTGGAGAGAGAAGGGAGGGGCAGACTAGGGGAAAGGGTATTCAGAATACATGCCATCTTGGAGTGGGGGGAGGGGCAAGATGGGGTGAAAATATGGAATTCATAATCTTGTGGAAGTAAATGTTGAAAACTAAAAATAAATAAATTTATATTAAGATAGAAAAAGAGATATTTGCTGTAACAAAATATCAAGCTTCTTGTAACAGTAAAAAACTTGGGCCTGTGATTTTACTGCTGAATGCAAATAAGCAATTTCTAGAACCTTAGAAAACAGCTTGGGACTTAGTTTCTCCAGAGTTCCACAGCCACTGCAGATCAGGGGCACGACACAAGCAAAGGTCTTCTGAGGTGAGCTAGCTCCCTCCCTATCTTCTCTATATGAGAGGATCACTACATTTTTTGTTCCATAAACCACTTTCAATATCAACAAGAAAATGTGTTGTGATCCCCCCAGGCTTCAATATGCTACTTCTAATATTCTTTTAGATTTATTAAGTGCTTACAATACCTACAACGATAACTTCTGCTCCCAAAAGGTTAGAATTAAAATTTACTTCAATAATGCTTCAAACATGCACACATTTTATCATCACAGAGGAAAAACATCTTAAACATGATTGGACAATTATTAACTCCTTATGCTGTCTTAATATATTTTAAGCCTAAACTCCTTGGATCATAGTCAAGAACCTCCAGGGGATTCACAAAACATTCAATGAGAACCACTGCTATATCTAAATAGTCTCCAAACTTTTTTGATCATATACCCCATTGGGTTTTGGGTTTTGTTTTTTTTTTTGGCTAGGCAATGGGGTTATTAAGTGACTTGCCCAGGGTCACACAGCTAGTAACTGTTATATGTCTGAGGCCGGATTTGAACTCAGGTCCTCCTGAATCCAGGGCCGGTGCTCTATCCACTGCACCACCTAGCTGCCCCCAGATACCCCATTGGGAAAATTTTTGAAACAAAAACCTAATGCTGGGTGTTGGTGTTAATGGCTGGCAGTGCTGAATAAGGTAATTCATAAAGTTATACAAATCCAAACAGAAGAAATACATAGTTGGCTAAGCTTACTAAATCATAATAATCACTTTTCAATGCCATGCATACAAAAGTGTTAGTTGCAATTAATTTAGCAAAACTGTATCTTAGCTGATAGAG